GGCATGAATTCTGTTATTTCTGCCCAAACAGGGTGCAGTTGGTGAATGAATACCAAGTGATCAAAGCTACATTATAACTTTGAATCTCTATCAGGGTGCACAATAGAGTGAACGGTTCAAAAGAATGTCACTATAAGTAAAAAGAGGATGGAAAAGACTGTACCCGTGACTGAAAAATATTCTTTTGATAACTAACTCCTGTCTAAGAGCACAACTGCTCATTAAACTGCATTTGATGCCAGTCTGCCGTAACTTTAGAGATTTCATGGATGCCTGAGCTCAGCTCTGGCCCTTGCTGCTGATCTACCTCTAATCCCCTGTAATTTCCTTTGAGCATGAATTATTCTCCTCAATTTGAAGGACTATATAACTGAGGGAGTCCCAGAAAACCAGAAACCTAATGTTGGTTAGTTTTGGTTAGGTTTGCCCCTGGTTGTCTGCACTATTCAACTTTTGAACATTTTTAACTTAAAAAAAACTACAACAAACAAACAAGGGTCTGCATATGATTACATTTAAAAAGTAGGCCTACTTGTTTTCAAGATAACAATGGTGACCAAAATTGACTTTTGAATTTTAAGGTTATAAAATGATGCTGATGTATTTTCATATATATTTATAAATAAAATAAAAAGTATTTTTTAGTGACCAACTATAAATGAAAGTACAGATTATTGTCTTGATTTGAACATTTTTAAATGGCTCTTTTAAATAGTCACATGACCTTTTCCCCTCTGAAACTTGAAAGTTGATGTATGCCTCAAAGCTCCATAAAAGGAAAGTGATGTGTTAAAGGAATAGTTTACTTAAAAATTAAAATTCTGTCATCATTTACTCACCCTGAAGTTGTTTCAAACCTGTATGAATTTCTTTCTTCTGCTAAACACAAAAGAAGATATTTTGAAGAATGACGGTAACCAAACAGTTGATCTATTTTTTTTCCTACTATGGAAATCAATAAGGTCCATCAACTGTCTGGTTAACAACATTCTTCAAAATATCTTCCTTTGTGTTCAAGAAATTCATACAGGTTTGAAACAACTTCAGGGTGAGTAAATAATGACAGAATTTTCATTTTTAAGAGAACTATTTCTTTAAACATAATAGCTAAAGATTGAACTACATATTTGAACATACGGTATAAGGACCTATTATTTTTTATTATAATAGATTAGTCTGTATCATATGTAAACATGCTGGTCACATTTATGACCAGTGGAAAACCATTTTGTAACAAAAACAAAACAAAACATTAAGCTTATAATTCAAATTCTAAAATTGTACATTTCAAAGTAATATTAGCCTATACATTAAATAAAGTTACATTACAGTAAATTAAATGTGAATTTATGCTTGGATTAGCCTCATTTCTTTGTACTCCACAATTGGCTGAGTAAAACACAAAAACACTTTCTGGTTCTTGTTTACCAGCTGAGAAATTTTGACTGTTAGTTTCCCACTGGTTACAATTGAGACCTGAGTTCGTCGGATAAAGAGAGCACGTCTAGTTTCATGTGTGTGTGTGTGTGTGTGTGTGTTAGAGGTGTGGCTCCAGTCAATGGTTTGAGGAGGAGGAGTGTCGAGTGTCTCAGTCAGCGCAGCGGTAGATCCATGAGCAAAGAAATCAGCGGCTGAATTTTATACAGTTAACCGGGACTGAGAGGAAGGAAACATGCTGGAATACAAATCTAAAGGCTCATTTCCAAATCACACCAACTGGCAGTCTCTTCGGAGGCTTTAGTGGTAAGTTACGTATATAAACAATAAGTTAAAGGGGGGCAGTGGGTAGACCAAGAGGTGCGATCTAGGATTCAGTATTGTTCGTATGAATATGTAGGACTGAGCACGTTTATCTGTTGAATGCTGGGTGCGTAAAATCACCTGTTGCAAAACATCACTTTTTAGCATCAGTCAGTAATTTATTTTCGTGTAACATAAGCGATATGGTGTATTAGGATTCAGACTGTAGGCTATATCGTGTGTTTGTAGTGGTATTAGGGTGAGTTAGTTGGGGGTGGGTACGTTAGGTAGGTGCATGGGTGGGAAATGGGCTCAAATAAACAAGGTGGTGCTGGATTGTGCGCATGTGTTATCATACAGTCACCGCAAAGTAAAGCTCGAGAGCTTACAAGTAGCCTACTTGTGTGGGAGAATAAACGTTAAAATGTAGGTGAAGGTGAACTATGGAAAAGTAGTCATTTTTGTGAAGGGGGCTCTGATAAAGCTCTATTTTTGATGTGCTTCCACCCTCTATAATGTAAATGTATAAAAAAAACCTTTATTTATTACAATATTATTGCGACTATTTTATATCAGTGGTGTAGGCGTTGCTTTTCATAACTGTTATTTCATAATCATATCACGTGAAGAAGATGCAAAAGCAAATATGACCACTGCGTTTAAAGTAATAAAGCAATGTTCTGATAACAAACTATAGATATTCAAATTAGGTCTGTGTCACTGTTGGGAAAACCAACCTCACTAGACCTTCATCAAGATCTAAGTAAATCGCTGCCCATCAGTTGGTAGTCCAGCAATCCGTTACAGTTTGGGCCAGACATGTTGACCACAAAATGACCCGTCCAGCCTGAAACCATGTAAAACCAACTGCTATCACAAAGGTGGCAATAGTCTAATGTATGTTCTCAATAGTCCAATGATTCATAACCATAAGCCAGTTCTAAACAATTAAAATAACTGTAAAAATTTGGTTAAACTGGAAAAGTACATAAAGCAGACCCTCATAAAGAATCAGTTTGAGACTGAAGCTTACTATTCACTATGAATATGTCAGGCAAATGAAAGACGAAAAAAGACTATTACATTTGTTTACTTGAATATTTAAAGGGCAGTTGATATTGAAATTTACTTGTCCCACGTTTGCTGAACCCATCCTATAACATGTGAATTTCCTTTGTTTCAGTGTCAAAGATACAAAGATACCAATCAAGTAGTGGATTCATTAACATTGATTGATATTAATCATTTTAATTATGAGTGGGATCTGAAAACTGATATCATCTTGCATGCTTAATTGTGTTGGACTTTTAACTTTGTTTACGCCTCAGATCATGTGACTTTGGAGTGTAGTATGAGGGAGGTTTGATAATGATTAACATGTAAGATAACAATTTAAATGAAATTAGTTATCAATACATTTTTTTCCACAAAAGACCATTTTAGTTACAGAATAAAAAAAGTACCGTAATCTAAACCCTGAGATACGTGGTAATATTTTCAGTCTAAGAGTGAAGATTGAGTGTTGCTAAAAAATAAAAAACAGGTTAAAACTGCAGTTCCTCTAGGTGGTTAGATGAATGAAGAGGGCACATAAAAGCAAACCTTTATTGTTTACATAAACTCTGCTCTCTTTAGAACTGCATCAGCCTTTTGGATCAAAGACTATGAGGACTAGAGAATGAATACCTTGTATGTCCTATCAAAGAACCTTTTGATGTTTATATTATTTGGTAAAGATAGTGTGAGTTCTCCTGTTTTCAGTCAGTAGGGAGTCAACAAATGATAACCAGCTCTCCATTTGGTTGATCACTTTGCCAGAGGAAAAGCCCTAAGGACTCACTATGTAAACTGAAGTAGTAAAAGAAAACGACCAGTGGTGTACTGCCTTCTTCCAGCTAGTATAATAAAAGTGTTAGGGGAAAGATGCTAGGCAGCTTGTAAATTTTATTGCATATATCAGAGATCTTTTTGAAGTAAAAGATAACAAGTTTGACCTTGGTATCTGTGCCATTCTTCTCTAGATGTAACGCTTGGCAGAATGTTCAATTGTCTACTCTATGGCGACAATGAGACGCTTCGTTAAGAGTGTCCTAAGATTTAAAGATTTTACTGTATGTTTACACTTGTTCACATTGCATAATATTTTCTGCTGTTAAAAAGTTACATCACACTCCTAATCAATCATAATCTTTAGTACAAAAATCCTCAGGTTGATAGGTCAAATTATAAATCCCCCTTTCAAGTCATCATCTTTTGAGATCATGCATGTCAGATCATTTCAACATCATTAATTTGCAAAAGTTCTCATAGTAAGGGACGTTTTTTTATAGAGCCATATTTTGTGTGTGTGTACATGACCGGTCTGCTGTAGCAGTAGTTTATGAAAGTGTACGCAGCATGATTTATTTTTATCTCTGTCTTTAATCATTTAGAAGTGCCTGTCTTCCAATTCTGACTCTTGAGTCTTAGCAGGAGCACAGGGCAGTTATGTGACATCTGCAGGCTGTATGGGTGTTTGTGTACATCTTGTACTTATGTCAGTACTACACGCATTTAGGTGGAACTTTGTTACATCTATGCACGATTTAGGCTATATTGCTGATGTATACATCTGTAGTTATATGTTTACATGGCCAATTTAATGGTTTGGGCTGTTTAATGGTCTAAACTGTTTGCGTTTTATGGTTTGCAATGCTAAAGACAAGATGGTCACCTGATCTGACTAACTGAGAGTTTATTTACTGGCAGTCCAAATTCGGAATTGACTGTTGATTTTAATTTTCTCCAAAATAATAATACATAAATAATACAAATATTAAAGATAAATAGAAATTGAGAACATAAGCATGATCAGTATGGAATTTAGTAATTTTATTTGTGTGTTGTGTTTGAGGCTACAGAGACTACACAGCCTTCCTGTTTTCAGGACATACCACCCTTAAAAGCTGATCAGGCCAAAAGGGAGGAGTTGATGCATTTCCAAATTCTGTTTGGATAAAGTCATGCAGAGGAGGACATTAGATTCAGTCTCTTTCCCACAAAAACACTGAAGCATGTGCTGTGGATGTTGAGATCAGCCTCCTTTGAACTGAGAAACATCTATGAGTTGTCTTGAGTTCTTTAATTCAGGCGTGAGGTGGTTTTATCAGCTGTGAATGGCTATAACTCATGGTTGAAGCAAAATGGAATTATTCTTATTATTCCCTCACAGGGAAGCCATATCATTCAGTCTGTTCGTTTCTGTTTAATCATGTGATTTAAATGTGCTTCTGTTTCTCCCTCTGCAGATTCCAGACGGTCTAATTGGAGTTTGCTACGTGGATAGTCTCTATTAGGAGGAATGTGTTGTTTAAAATAAGTGTGTGTTTGCCCACAAGGATCTGATATCTCTCCACCTTTGACCTCTTTGAGGGCATAATTGCAGTATGGCAAGGTCTCTGTGACCTTAAGTATCCCTGAAAGAATCAACGGCAGGGTGTAAACATTTCATTTGAATACCAAAGATACCTGGAATATTACAATCTTCAATTGCAAAGCAGTTGACCATGGCAACCAAATGGAAAGTATCCATGGAAACCACAAACTCTCTCTGGCTCTTGTTTTGGACCATATGGATTTTTTTGGCTGGAGTTTTACATGCAACCGTGGTTAATGAAGATGATGTCACGGCACGCATCAGTTTCTCATATAGTAAGTGCATGAATTAATTAGTTATTCAGCAGTTGCTTTCTTATCCAAAGCTATTTACTCTTCACTTACTACTGTAAAGGCCCGTTCACACCCAATAATGAAAACTATAATGATAAAGATATAGTTCTAAATATAAAAGAAGGTAACACTTTATTTTAATGGTCCCCTTTAGACATTTTGTTGACATTAAAGTACGTTACACCTAATACTCATCAGAGTATTAGTAGACTGTCTGCTCAATATCTACTAACACTTTATTTTGATGGTTCCCCAACACACATTTTACTGGCATAAGTAACTGTGCAAGTACATGTAAACTTATTCTGCTAACCAGAACCCCTTATTCTACTAACCCTACCCCTACTCTTAACAGTCAACTAACTCATAATACTCAACTAATACTCCAATGCGAGTTAGTTGACATGTAACTTTACTTATACCCAAGAGAATGTCTAAAGGGGACAGTTAAAATAAAGTGTAACCTAAAAGAATAGCAGATGAAGAACTATAACTATAACAGCACAGAAACGATATCATTGGAATCACTTTCAGAATGTTTTTTTCTAGCTGATGAACGATAAAACAATGACAGCCAATCAGAATCCATCCTGCTTGAAAGAGCTTGAGCATTTTAAGTGGCAACAATATTATACAGGGTTCCTACGCAATTTGGAAAAGTATGGCATTTGATTTGAGTAATTTCCAGGTCTGAGCAGGTATAGAAAAAAGAAAGCAGTGTATGGAAAAATATTTGCATTTCCAGACTATTGCCCCTATTTTTTATAATTATAGTTTTCTATAATAGAAAATTGAGAATTTAATGAAATTAAATTTATCATACAAGAAGTGTTTTCATGGCAGCTGTTTAGTGATTCTTTAGTGATTGTCAAACACGACTGCCACTATTGCGCCAACAGCCCATTTGCTGTGTAGTTTCTTGGCCGCCACAGAGTACGTGTTAAAGCAGACCTAAGGCTTTGAAAAATGATGTACTTCCCTAACAAAAGCCAATTTTTTAACACTTTTACAATACCAGTCTTTTTTATAGACCCTTGAACTTGGCAAATAGGACAATGCACACAGCCATATTGTGCCATCAGCCCATTTAGTGTCATGGTTTCTCTACCGCCCCAGAGGATGCATTAAATTGGACATTAGGTCTTGCTATTAGAGGTACTACCCCAAAGAAATAGATCTCTATTAATTCATATGCATCCATGATCTCGTTTTATTTATAGTAAGATGGCAGTGACGCTCAAAGGAAATAGGTTATATATAAAACTAGAAATTGTAATGTGTAGACAAGCAAAAAAAATCCCATGTGTTTGTTGACCCCTGAGAAAATTAACATATTTACAGATTACTGTACTATATACCAAATTTAAAGCTCAAAATAATGTTGTATGAACCATTAATGTTAAATATGGTCTGAAAATCTACAGAGAGGTTTGGAAATTTGAGTCTGGAAAAGTATGGAATTTTGAAATGGAAAAATGTATAGGAATTCTTACCAATGCTGCATTTATTTGATCAGAAATAAAGTAAAAACAATAATATTGTGAAATATTATAACAATTTAAACACTTTTCTATTTTAAAGTGTGATGCAAAGATTCCTGTGATGGCAATGGCAATCATTACTCCAGTCTTCAGTGTCACTTGATCGTTTAGAAATCATTTTAATATGCTGATTTGGTGCTCAAGCAACATTTCTTATTATTATCAATGTTGTAGTATCAATGTCACAGTTTTGCTGCTTAATATTTTTGTGGAAGCCATGATATTCTTTTTATCTTTGAAGAATAGAATAGCATTTGAAATGGAAATGTTGTATAAAATGGCATTTTATGCTCACAAAAGCAGCAATGTCAGTAATGCGCACTGCATTCAGTGGAAGAAGCTCTGCTGGCCCAGATTCCCTCAGACTACCACTCATCTGCTATAATTTAGCTCAATTTTAGGGCTACTTGAACTGCCATGATGTTTCTTATTCCCGAAAGACCCATTACGAGACTGTTCCAAATGTTGCGTTCACTCATCTTAGCCAAACAAACAGGCGGGTTTAATCCTTGATTGTAAACATTTACAAGAGCTATTAGAACCATTTGCAAACCCTGGCTGGTGTACTGTATCAGAGTAACAGTCATGCTCATTAATCATTTGAGGTTGAAATGCAAATGTAATGGTTGTACTTAGAACAAAACGGCTTGTAAAAGGTTTTATGTCAGTAAACACTGACGTTAGTGACCTCTGTGCCTTGCCAGGAAAACCTTCTGGACATGCGAACCGACATCATTTTAAAGGGTCGGTTTGTGTGCCAGGTTTGTGTAGTTTTGAAGGAGCATTCCATGTGAGGAATGCAAGATGCTTTCTGAATGTACTGTAAGGCTTTATTTAGACACTGATTAAAAAAAAATATATATATATATATATATAAATATATATGTGCGAAACATTAAGATTTTTTTGGATAACATTGATTTTTGTTCTTTTTATGAGGTGTACGAAGCAATATTTTTGCCTCTGGTTGTGTTCAGATGCAGAAGGGCGATCAGTGAGAGAGTTCTCTGTGGATGGTGTGTATAACTATTCAACTCTTCTGCTGAGCCCAGATAAAAACAAGATCTACGTGGGAGCCAGGGAGAACATATTCTCTCTCAGCCTGGACAACATCAGTGTGACGTATCTACAGAAAACAGTAAGTGCGTGCGAGAATGTTTGTAGTAGTGTGTAGGAGTGCATTTTGATGGTACTCAGTGTTGTTTTGTCTCTTCTGCAGCTCACATGGAGCACTCCAGAAAGGAAGAGGAAGGAGTGTATCTTCAAGGGAAAGGACCCCCAGGTATAAGTGTGTTGCGATTATTGTTAATATAAATGTGACGCAATATATTAAAACAACAAACTAAAAGATAATCTGCCTCTTATGTGTTTCAGACTGACTGTTTTAACTACATCAAGATTTTACTGCATTTGAACAGCACACACCTGTATGTGTGTGGAACATATGCCTTCAGCCCCATCTGCGCTTACATTGTGAGACATCTCTTTTTTTTTCTTTTTTTTAATCTATTTTAAAAATTAAGTTCTTAGAAATGTCCTCTCTATATGCATGTCTGATTCATATAGTTTTGTAAAAACTTGAGAATTTAAATTTAATGTCTCTAAAAATGTGGTATTACGTAAACAGTATTAATATATAAAAGTGATTTTTTTTTAAGTAAAACTAATCTGATATTCATATATATCTGATAGTCATGAAGGTCTGTTTACAGTTTCTCTAAAGTGTCATTTATTTTATTTTTATTATTATTGTTGTTGGTTTTTACACAAACACACACACATATATTATATTTTGGGACAGTTATTTCACCGTAATGTTTTACCTTTTTCCCCAAAAAGAAATATTTAAATAAATAAAAAAATTAAATTTCAACCGGAAATTAAAAATGAGGTGTATTTAAGTCGTTGTGTATTTAAATAGCTTTTTCTAATGTATTTTTGAATAAAATAATATATAGGACAAAAAAACTGAGCTTTATGTCATTGACCCATTTGTGCAAGTGTATCTGGTGTCATTTGATTTAACGAACGAATGATGTGTTTGGGTTTTTCGTGAAATTTGTAGAACATTTCAAGTTTCTCTCTGGAAAGAGATGAAAAGGGGGAACCCGTTATGGAGGATGGCCGTGGACGCTGTCCATTTAATCCAGAATACAGATCTACAGCTATTACAGTGGGTGAGTATACTAATGCAAAAACATTGCAATCTTTTTGTTTGAACTTCATATATAAACATTGAGTTTGATGAAAAGGTTGATTTAGTGTTAATGAGCACTTGAATTTTTTGTGTTATAGATGGGGAACTGTACACTGCTACTGTCAGTAACTTCCAGGGAAATGAACCCACCATATATAGGAGTCTAGGGACTGGCACCCCTCTCAAAACGGAGAACTCTCTCAACTGGCTCCAGGGTAAATATATACAAACACACACACTTCCTCACAAGGGACCTTCTAAGAGATTAATATCTAAAAATAAATGCCAGCATCAGTGATTACAGAACCATGCTTTCTCACGCATGTTGGAAACAGAAAATTGCTGACTGATACTGATGTTAAATTAACAGTTGTACAGTTTTGTTTTCTGGAATATGGTGAATGAAAATGTTTGTGTGTGTGTGTGTGTGTGTGTGTGTGTGTGCGTCAGACCCAGCGTTTGTAGGTTCTGCTCATATTACAGGTCAAAACAGTGAGAGAAGTGATGATCAGATCTATTTTTTCTTCAGTGAGATGGGAAAGGAGTTCGACTTCTTTGATAACACTATAGTGTCCAGGATTGCACGTGTGTGTAAGGTAAGATGGCGTGTTTAAGCAGTTCACACGGTGTTGATAAAGTCAGCATAAACCTGAAAAGAAAAAAAACACACGTACTGACACACATACAGAAATCCCAATATATCCACTATCAGTATACCAGATGAAACAGGTACATATTTTCATATTTTTTAGTAAATTGTTGGGACACTTCTGAAACCGGGGCGTCTGGTCACCCTAGTTTCATGTTAATTTAAGAAGCAGATGAACAAGGTGAATCACAGAAGGCTGTGAACTCTGCCCTATTAATTTCACATATGTGTTACTTTCCCACCCGTTGACGCTCCCTGCCTCCCTGACTTCCATGGGAGTACATTGATAATACCATGTTTGTTTGTTTTTTGACATGTACCAAGGTATTACAATATTATTATTTGAAATACCCTGGATAATTATATAAATACTATAGTATATTAATATGATAATCGGTCAGTACTGTGCTATCACTATCTGAAACTGTCACTGTACCATTGGCAGCTACTTCAACAATACTTCCCCCCTCAGGATGCTCTGAAACCAGGGCTAGAGTTCTAATGCCCCCTAGTGGTCCTTTAGAGTATTATAAAATATTGTAAGAGGAAAATATGTTGAAAGCGTTAAATCAGATGCTTGTGTGTTTTTTTTTGTTTAACCTCAGGAGGATCAAGGTGGAGAGAGAGTCCTGCAGAAGAAATGGACCACATTTCTTAAAGCTCAACTCTTGTGTTCGCTACCTGATGATGGTTTTCCTTTCAACATCATTCAGGATGTATATGTGCTTCCAGCCCAACGCAAGAAAAACACACTCCTCTATGCAGTGTTCACTTCTCAATGGTATGCGGAAAAATAGAGAGGGGCACAGGAAGATAATGTTTTTCTGTACTAATACTATATACTAGAAACTGTCTGCTCTAATTTAACACTGCAAATTCTAGTGTGTCTGTTCTAAAATGTAAACTTTTTTCGCTATATTGTTTGTAGGAGTAAAGGTCTAGCAGGCAGTTCAGCAGTGTGTGTGTTCAGCATGGATCAGGTAGAACAAGCGTTTACTGGCCGTTACAAAGAGGTGAACCGAGAGACACAGCAGTGGTACACACACACTCACTCTGTACCTGAACCACGACCTGGAATGGTAAGATGACACACACTCCCATATACACTTTACCAGTTCTGTATAAGCGGGAAGGATTTTATAGTTTCTGTGAAGCTTTTTGTGAAGATTGCCCCCCCCCTTTCTACAGTGTATTACCAATGCTTCAAGGCAGCTGGGAATAGACTCATCCCTGGATATGCCAGATAAGGTACTAAACTTTGTGAAAGACCACTTCCTGATGGACAGACCTGTCAAAAGTCAGCCTGTGCTCTTCACGCACTCTGTGCACTACACACAAATCGCTGTACACCACGTGCAAGGCCTCCACAGAGCTTACGATGTGATGTTCATCGGCACAGGTATGTTGTGTTTTTTGAGTGTCTGATTTTCTCTGATTTCAATTTCTTTTCTAATTAGCTGTTGATGTTGTGCGCTGTGATTTGACAGATGATGGACGTTTACAAAAGGCTGTGAATGTAGCTGGTACGATGCACATCATTGAGGAGATCCAACTGTTCCCAGAAAAACAGCCTGTACAACACATTGAGCTGGATTCGGCTAAGGTGAATGTGTGCCTATTAAATAATGTATTAAATACCACAAACTAATAATGAAAAATACTTTTACTGCATTTATTAACCTAGGTTAATGTTAATTTCTGCATAAACTACATTTCATATTCATTAGCATGAATAATTAACAACAATCTGTGGTATATTTAACAAAGGTATTTTAATAAATGCTGTAAAATGATTGTTACTTGTAGGTTCTTAATAACTAATGCATTAACTATAGTGAACAAAAAGTGTTACTGTTTATTTGTACTTATGAAAAGGTGCATTCATTTTATTCACTACCATTCAAAAGTTAGGGGTCAGTAAGATATTTTAATGTATAAGTCATATACTATTGTCTTATACTTGCCAAAGCTATATTTAATTAGTTAAAAATACAGTACAAAATGTAATTTTATTTCTGTGATGGCAAAGTTGTATCATTTTATAACATTATAAATGAAAATATGGTCACCTTTCATCAGTTGAACGCATCCTCGTTCAGAAACAAATGGTACTTGTTACTCGCCCCAAACTTTTGCACAGTAGTGTATTTGAATTACACATTTACTTGCACTTGTTCTCTACAAAGATTGTATTTCAATCTCTTACTCTCAATCCTCTCTATCAACAAACAGGGTTTGTTATTTATGTCATCACACTCTGGTATTGTCCAGTTGCCTGTAGCAAACTGCAGTTACCATAACAACTGTGGCGAGTGTGTTTTGGCCAGAGACCCATACTGTGCTTGGACAGGAACACACTGTACTGACGTCACACGAATCACACCACAAAAGTAAGTCTTCCCTGTTTCAAATTATCTATTGAATAAATAATTTTCAGTACCAATACCAATCTTTTACCATCCTATGTGTGTTTCAGACAATGGCAGCAAGATATTGAGGAGGCTGACACTTCATCAAAATGTAACGGCACAATGTTCAGTGTGGACTCTGAAAGCTCAGGTAAACCTGCAAATCCTTGCATATACATGCATCTTATCATCCGTCTGAATATGTTATAGTATATATTTCTTCTCTCTTTCTAGTGTTACCACTTTCTTTCCCAAATTCCCAAGCATCTAATTGTGAGATCATCATCGTCCCAGCTAACACCCTTCGCCTGCTGCCCTGCAATCTTCGCTCCAATCATGCCCACAGAAAATGGTTATACAAGCCAGATGTAGGTCACTTCCTGTTCCCCAGCCCAGATGGTGGATTAGTAGTCAGCGGCCGAGCAGGCGGAGATGAGGTCTTCTCTTGTTGGTCAGGAGAACATGGCTTCTGGCAACTTTTGGCCAATTACTGTGTAAAGGCAGAGCCTTTATCCGAGACCACAACCAATACTGGGCAGATGGATGCACCTCTTATAATCCAAAGCATATCGTCGGACATCCTGTCCGGTGAATCGGCACGCTCTGCTCAACCTCGCATAAAGACGTATGCCACAGAGCTGGCAGTAGTGTGTGTTTTGTTAGCTGTGTGTGTGCTTTCGTTCGGGCTGTCGGTAGCCTATAGACACAGGGGCCGGATGAAGGAGGTACTAAGAGGGGGAGAACAAACTGGAGGAGCCCAAAAGAGCACAGTCAGGCCTGGGGAGAGTGTGCCCCTCAATGCTGGTGTGCTTCCAACCTCCCCATCCGACCACAAAAGCTACCAGACTTTGGAGGAAAACTGCGGTTACATAATCGCTCCATTAGAGACAAGCACGCAGCACAACTCCAAGGAAGCACAGACACTCGCCCAAACGCCACAGAATGGGTTCAAAGAAAGTCATGTGGAGGTCAGTGACATTAGCCCTCGCCCCCGGGTACGACTGGGCTCTGAGATCAGAGACTCTGTGGTTTAAAACATAGACATTGCCAATGAGTTTATATGATTTATGCATAAACAATCTAACAGTCTTAATGTTCACTTGGGCAGCTTTCATGAAGACTAAGCGTACTGAGCCCTGAGTATTAAGAATAGATGTGACGTGCTCAGTGTGCGAATTGCCAAATTTGAGTTATTCAAGACAATGCCCTCAAATCTACTCACATCTGGAGAAAGAGTGGACCAGATGGATTGAGCAGAGAGAAATGGGCAACAAGCCTTCTTGTGTGACTGGTACTGGTGCTTTATCACTGCCAAGACTTGAGTAATGATGCTTCACTCAAGGTGAAAAAAAGAAAAGGTTTATATGCCTATTTGTATTACTTTGCCATTTTTGTGCAAAGATTCAATGCATACGTGTTTAATGAGGGTATTTTAATCTTAAAAGCTGACTATGAAAACAAAAGCCCATCCTCTGCAGATTGTCATTATACCAGCATTGAACACCAGGCAGTTCAAACCAGAGAGCTTGTTAGTGTCGCAGAACTTGGTAACTTTCTAAACAATTTTAGAAATCATTTTTATTTATTTTTTATCAATTTCTTAGGCCTTTTGGGGAATTAGTATGTTAGTGTTTTCTATTCTGTGATTCAAATGTGTTCTTATTAGTAAAGTGCCTGGTGTTAAATACTGGTCTGTGTATGAAAATTTGAAATGCGAAAAAAATCATATTTGCTTTTAGAACAAATGTAGCAAGTGTGTATGAGCATCAAGAAACAATGTTTCTTAATACTTTTGAATGTACATTTGAAGAGCACAAGTACGCGATTATGTCTTGCCACACAGGTTGGTGGCAATTGTGTTCAGTGCAGCATATAGTGCAGTGGATGGAGTCTAAACAGACAGAAACAAAGACAATGATACGGTACAATAGTACAATACAACAAAATTACAGTCGAAACAGTATTGTTGGCATTTGGTAAAGAGTGAGGTATACTGCAAGAGAAAAGAATGATACACATTGTGGATGAATTTGATGTAAATGTACGAATGCATGTAGGAAATCATAAGTGACTAATACAGTGAAATAATTTGGAGATTCCAGTTGGAAAAGGCTGAAAACGTCTGTAAATTTGCAATCTGCTTTAGGGTTAAAAAAGAAAATGTAGAAGAACATGGTTACGTTAATGGGTCATCCATACTTAAAACAAACCCTCTCTGACACAAACACTAACTTCGCTATTATAGACTTCCACTTGGAAAAATCGTTTTAATCCACATTAACCGTGACATGTTTGATGTTGTTTAATCATGTGTTACATTCCACTGTGTTTTCAGCTTTTGTGTTTTGAATGGAAAATGTAAAGTAGATTGTGATTTTATATACTTTGACACTGTTTTGCTGTTGTTTTACATTGTACATTCACGCACTTTATTTTTTCTACCAGTATTTGTAAGCTGTAAATGAGGTAGGCCACTGTCAACGTCTTGGTTTCGTAGTCAATGTTTGTACATTAAAAGAAGGTGTAAAATAGGTCTGAAAGAGTGTCTCCACAGTCTGACATGCAAAATAAAATTTTGCATAAACTTGATCGGCCAGTCTGACTGTCTTTCGAATTAAGGTCATTTCATATGCAGTTGAGAAAAAAAATCAGAGAGCTTCTTATGATCGATTTATGTTCTTGAAATAAGACCAAAACATTTATTATACATGATAATTATACACTGAGGTCCAAAACCTGAAACTGCACTCAAAAACTGAGATTTAAAAATCTAATTGAAACTTAAGAGTTTAAAATACTAAGAAACATTTCAAATCAAATTGTAATGTGGATAATATAATTTTTATTAAAAAAATAAATGTGTAAAAATTATAACAGAAGCAGGATTCTTACTGATATCATCAGATTGAAGAATATATTACATTACATTTATCAGAATTCACAACCCGTGGAGTGCTTTTACAGAGATTTAGAATAATGCATATTAATGTGCAAGATCAATTAATTTCCAGCCATTGCTTTTCCATTGAGCATTTTTAACATCAACATGAGAATAGATGGAAACAAATTTAATGACAATAAAGGTTAATGCATTAATACGGCCTAATATGAAACATTTCTCTCAAACAGACTTATTTAGATGGTCAGTGAAATATTCTGCAGTGATGGCATCTCTAACAGCTCTGCCAGCAGGATGGTCCCGAGTAATGGGGTCAACATCATCATCATCAGGGGAGAGATAATATTCATCTGGCACTCGCTCCTTCCTTATAGTGGCTATGTTGTGAAGGACAACACATGCACCCACAATCTGAGATGCCCGCTCTGGTGACACTCTCAGGTCACGAAGACAGTTAAACCGTGCCTTTAAAATGGCAAGAGTTGTGTCAATCTTGAGCCTGGTTTGACTGAGGGCCACGTTAAAGTCATGCTGTGGTGTTGTCTCAGGGTCAGGGTAGGAAGTCATCAGAAAGCTCTGACATGCGTAAGTCTCGTCTCCCACCAGCAGACCGTCAAACTGCCCTGTCAAATGAACAGAAAAAAAAGTGTCACAATAACAGTCCATTTCTGTAAAGTGTTGTCTACTGTTCCCATTTTACCATACCTTCCTGTAAACGCTTGCACAACGACGAGTTCTCGAAAATCTGGTTGTCATGCATTGAGCCAGGCCATCTGGCATCCAGGCTTGTGACCATACACTGATGGTCACAAGTAATCTGTAATGAACACACTGCTGGTGAGTCCCACGTTTTACCATTACAATAATTCAAGTGGATGCATATTGGTTAAATGCAATATACCTACCTGAACATTGAGGCTGTGAGTAGCCTTCCTGTTAAGATAATTAGCCTCAATTTCTTTTATTGGAGTCGAGATTGGAATGTGTGTGCAATCTATTACTCCAATAGCTCTAGGGAATCCTTGCAAAAGATCACAGCATTACCAACTCTTAATATCGATCATTATTTATGGTGTATTATTGGTGTGTTGATCAATCTTACCAGCTATATTGGAGAAGCCCTCTTTTATGGCCACAGTGGGTAAATGACCAGGAAACACAACGAAAGTGTTCAGATATTTCTGGAGTGCGATAACTACCCTACGAATTGTTCGGCAAACTGTGTTCTTGCTGAGCTTCTCGGCATCGCCCACTTCATACAGGTATGTACCACTCGCAAAGAAACGCAAAGCAATACAAATCATTTGTGGGACAGTGGTCGCATGGCTTCGCCGCGTCGGGTTCTTAATATGGGGCTCTAGAAGCCGACAAAGATACAACATTCCCTCCGCCGAAAATCGGTATTTCTCGTGTAAGTTCGCGTCAGAGAATGCTAGGGGGTTTTGTTTATCTCTAAGAATTCTTTCTCTTCGTAAAGCCCTTTGTACAATTTGGGCTCCGATATCTACAGGATTATCCAGAAACGGTGAAGCCATTTTGCTACTAGTAGTACGCTTACTATGAGAATGGACTTGGTTACGTCAGAGTTATGTCACTTTGCTCACAGCTGATTGGTCTAATATCTGTCTACGAGCTGTTATCATGAATGAACGATGAACAAAAGAGGTGTCTTGAACAAAACCTGTCCCAGAGCAGTTTAACGTGTAGCATTTATTTTTACCATGGCTGTGTAAAATAAAAAAGTAATCTTTCTTGAGTTGAGAAGGCTGCTGTAGTTGATGGTTTATTGAACGAATTGTTTGTGAGTCGGATCTTTTTTCTGGTCTGAACGATTTATAAATCAGACTGATTCACTAAGAATCAGATTTCACTGGTGTAAAAGTTTAATAGCAGAAATGTTAAACCTGCTTATATGAAACTGTTGTCAACACACACATTGTTTATAGTTAGACACACTTATTCTCTTAATTATTGTATGATCTGAATCATTGCTGCAACAAACTGAACTTAGTCACAGTCAGTTACAACACCCTTATTACTAAAACTTAATTGAAACCGTATTAAACAGGAAAATGTGTACATATGGCTTTCTTTTATTGTTGTAAATATGCAACGCCATGATGTCAGCGATCACGAGCTGTTCGAAAGAAGCGATTCGCTAGCCCCGCCTCCTCTGTGCAAAACCCCGCCCCCCGAAGACATTTCAGCAAATCAAAATATTCGACTCAATGTCTGATCTAAAACAGCATCCCATGCGTGGTCAGATTCAGAGCGTGTGGTTTCTTATGGGGCCGGGCACCTAATTCAGTGATTCTTTCAAGTAGCAGCAAGTAAGGACATTTTCTGTAAAAGCTGACTGCATATTTAACGAGGGTAACCACACATTTCAGTTTTTTTGTGACACAGGCCTCATATATTATGCTTTTGCATGCCCACAGGATTATTTATATACTAACAGTGGTGGCATATGCATTATTAGTCCGTTCCAACAGGGTACCCTATGGACACCACAATTATAGCGCATTATGTCAAAGCCAACTTATAGTATATGAAGAGATTACTGACATTCCAAATAAGTAGAAAACAAATAATGATGAATGAGTAAAAATGTACTTATCTACCTGTTATGCCAGTAGAGAAGCTGGCACTGAGAGTTCACTACTGCTTTTAAACATCAAATCAGTCTGATTAGAAACATGCACTGCATTATTTGAACAGTCAATAATCATGTTGGAACTGCTTAACAGTTATATGGTTAAGGGTTGCGGTTTATAGAAATTTGCCCTCAAACGCTAGTTAATTCCGTAAAAATAAGGAAAGAAAAAAAATTGAATTGTTGAAAACCTTAAATTCTTAAACACACATGCATATAGTATTATAGGGATAACAGTTTAATTGGTAGGTGTGCATTAAAATGTACATTTTTATTAAGAAGGGCACTTTATACAAAAATACAAGATTACAAGTCCAGTCCAGACATTTTGAGACTCCCATTTATTTGGGCTTGCTCGGATTATTTGAACATAAGAAACTCTCTCCTCCTCCATAGCTGAACACAAATCATTATGTACTGTAAGGTTGATATGCCCTTTCAAGCACATTATGGAGTTTGGGATGAAACATTAAAGAATCAAAGTCTCCACATCTACACAATGAAAGATTTTTTTTTTCTTGACAAAAGGAAAAAAGATCTTGGATGCCATGTCGGTCACAACCCCATCCACTGGTTATTTGGCTTTAGGGTCTCCTTTCTCATTTGCCTTTTTTTGCTTCTGCTGCATGATTTCAGCATCTCTGAAATACAAAAATAAATAAATCATATTCGCATTCAGTAGGATGCGCTTTGTAATTCCAAGCATCTATATGTTATTGTTCTCTAGTTTAGAGGTACCTTTGCTTACGAGCAGCTGCTGAGAGGCCATCCTCATTTCTCTTCCCTTTGGTAGTATCAGTTTGCTTCTTAGCATTCTTTTGACGGGCAAGCTCACGCTGATTTCCCCCTGCAGGACGAGAGATTTCAACACTCTTAATGGCTTGTTCATACTCTACTCCCTTGAAAAGACAAAGATTGCACAGGATTGAACATGTATCAACAAGAAGATGCCACTTTGTTTAAAATCTCCAATCTGCCATCGGCAAATCTATCCAGTGTCAAGAATTCTATTTAGAGAACGAGGAAGGTTGATGCTGTGTACAGTATAACACGTAAACCCAAATCTGTGTACAGTATAATCATGTGTGGCAGTGAGGCGACGTGGCAATGAAGGCGCCAGAGAGAGCCTTCAAAATAACAACATCCGCACAAAACGATAGACTACCTACTATCGCCGATATCACAAAATAAACTACATCCTGATGTCTTATAAGATAAAAAATATCTTCGCTGTATTTGCTGGATGGCATTAATGTTGCATTACAATTGACGATATAATTTAAGTTTGCTAATGTTAAACATCTGTCAACTTTTCAACTTTTTGACAATGTTTTAAAAAGTTTTCCGTGTCGTAGTATATATATATAAATAAATAGTTTTAACTAACACCCTAAATCTGCATTTTGTCTGGTTTAGAAGCTTAATCTTGTGATTTCCTTTCGTGAACTTTACACAGAATAAGCTAGCAGGCTAGTTGGTTAGCTAGCCTTGCTATTGCATTGCTCCTGAAACCTGGATTCCATTAAAGTACTTACATTAGTAACAGTAGAAGCTTGATATAATGTCAACCGAATTAATAAAAATCAATACCCACTCGTCATGATCGCTCTTTTGTTGTCGCCGGAGCGCAAAGCTCAACCAGGCGTTACCTCTGGTACTTGTGATGGCTGGCGGACCCGAAGTCAATTCGGAAGATTTACGACAACGCAGTGTCGGAACACAGCAGTACGTTTCCAAGTGGACGTCATTACGTCACATGAAGATGTTAAAGAGTCAACAACTTATTTTACTAAAGTATATTATAAACATGTAATATCTGTATTTTTTGCAAATGTAAAAAAAGAAGAAGCAATTTTACTAAATAAATAAACAAACAAACAAACAAACAAACACTTCTGCACGTTTATTCAGAGATAATAGGAATTATAATAGGGACTAATATTTTCGCTTTATTCTCTGAATCTCGTTGATGAGATCTGATCTACCTGATTTTACCATTTACAATTTCACCAAATTATAATAATTTGTACCGTCATACCTCTCAAATATCTATTTTTGTATTACAGTAACATTTTAATGTTGTATTCCTGGGTAATATTTTCCAAATCATTATTTCTCATCAAAATCAAAATATTTAAATTCTAAAATATATTTATATCTATATTAAAATTTTGTTCAATGAAAGTGACTGAAATCTAGCATACAAGTCAATTTTTGTTTGGCATTTATGGAACTATGAATGTGTATTTCTGCTCAATTCAACAGAGCGACATAGTAACGCAATCTCCGTCATCTACGACTAAATTATATATGTAATTTATTGTAATAAATGTAATTTAAATTACTGTTATTTTGAACCTTCGCAGTGGAGTGCATGAATTTGCCCAGCAGATGGCACCAGTGCAATAGCGTCTCTTTCTTTGTTTCTTTCTTGGTTCTGTTCTTTCGAAGCCTTCGAAAGCTTTTTTTCATTTTAACAATGAAATACGGACACCAAACAATTTATTTATTTTGAACAATTTGTTGTTACATTTATTTCTTCTTCTTTTTGTTTGTTTGTTGAGAATGCCTGTTCAACTGTAGACGCCGGTAGACGCTAGTTTTTGCTTTGGGCCTTTTATTTTGTAATCTGGTGAGGTATTATCGTTGGTTACTTCATTCATTGTCGTTGCTTATTTTTGACACATGGCAGTATAAGTGGATATCTAACGCACTGTATCATCAGTCATGAAGCTTTATAGAGTGAACATGTCAGTGTGAAATTTGTACTTGGGTTACTCATTCTTCACAGATCTGATCATGTCGGCGGCGTGGACAGCGCGCCAGGGGGAAGTGGGTGATCTGAGAAGCAAGAGTAAAGATGAGCTCCTTGAGATACTCTCTCGACAAGAAAAGTTACTGTCTAATAAGTAAGTGAGGTCCTCTACCTTTTTATTTTATTTTAGCCCCATTACCCTGAATATTTAACCATAACGTATGTATATAAAACTACATTAAGATTACTGGCTAGAATATTGTGCTGCTTAAATATTCTGGATCATTCCAGGTCCACTCACTCACTGGCGCCCCCACTGTAAACTTTCTTATTAGTCGTGTAAATAACATAGATACGTGCATCATCCATCCCATGAGTGGCAGTGTACACTGCTGCACACAAAAGTTGGGGCAATTTATAATTCAAAGCAAAAACACCCCTTTTATATGTAATGCAAATTAATTTGTTACATTGTGGAAGTAATTGATGAATTTTGCAACATTAACACTGTTATTTTTCTATGTATTACTATCAAGCTGCTTTGAAAAAAGTCTAATGTTTAAAGTGTTATATAAATAAATATATCTAAATATGAATTGTACTTTTATGATCTTTTCAGGAGATTTGTTCAGAGCCTCCCAGATAAGGGAAAGAAGATTGCTGACTTTGTGGTGAAAGTACATCTTGCACTTGGACATCTGGAGGAGGAAGAGAGAAAACAAGCAAATTTAATCTCTGTCCGGACAGAGTTACAGGCTAAATATCAGCAAGCCCTTGCCAATCGGAGCACAGATAAGCATTTAGGCTCAAATTTGGACATGATTATTCCATCCCATGACGGAAAGGAAGCCAATGTTAATATTGATGAGGCTAACATACAGGAAAATGGTGGTTTGTTTGGCCAAGAGGAGTCTTTGACATCCCGGCTGCAGGTTGCTGAAACACTAGGAAAAGCCAGTGGGAATGCACCAGCCTCACTAATGAAAGACACAGAGCTTGTGGAGGCGTTTGGACGAGTAACACTTGCTGAAAGTAACCACTCCTCCAACCAAGGCACCATCAAAACCCTGCCTTCTAGTAAGCCCTTTCTGGGTAATCAGCTTCAGAAGAAACCACATTACGTAGAGGTCCTGGAGAGGACAGAGAAAAGTGTGAATATGAGGAAGCCCAGATTCAAACCAAACCAGTTAGTGGAACTACACTGTCATTGCATGGCTTTGTATTTATTTTATTTTTTAAAATAAATTGTAATTGAATACTACATTAATACACTTCATATTTACTTTACAAATTAAGTTTCTTTATAGTTTGTTATAGTTGTAATGAGAATATTGGTCCAGTTGTAATAAACATTGTCTTTTTACTTTGTTGGCGCACATTACTAGTCTAACTGTGAACAATAAATCTGCAAATTAATGCACCACAAAAATGTGTTTGTGTAGGTAATCTTTAGTCAATCTTCTTCCATTCCAATTAAGATATCTGATCTAGAATGTGAGGAATATGATTTTATGGATGTTTAACCTTAAACACTTTACTTGTATAGCTTCAGGTCTCAGGTTCATTTGCCCTTGCATGGTGCTAGTAACAGCTACGTCATGGGTTCAAGTCCCAGGAAATACATAAACTTTTAAAATCCATAGTTTAAATGCTCTGTAAGTCACTCTGGATAAAAGTGTCGGTTCTTTCTTTAGGTTAAGTGTAAAATCGACATCTACATCACCTAGTCAGGCCTCTGGCAGCACCACACCATTTACTGCAGAGGCCAGAAGACAACAAGACCGAAAACACCTGGATGACATTACTTCGGCTAAGCTTCCACCTCTGCACCACAGTCCTGCCCAGCTGCTGTCATTAGAGGAGTCTTCTGACCTTCAGCAAGAGCAGACCAGAAGGCACCTGGTAGGTTGAAGATGTTTTGCTCATAGATAAAGTGAGATTTGATCGATCAAAGTGATGAATGACATTTCTAAGCATCTGAGGCCTCAAAAAAAGTACTACTTTAATATTCCCGGCTGAGAGTATAAAACCTATACGTGTTTGCCTCTTGTGTGTTTTTGTTCCTGCCTCATTATGTATTCAGGAAGTAGTACATTCATGTAATTGTGAATGCTGTTCATTTCAGGAGTTGCAGGCCAAACAAGCTGCCCAGAAGCTGGCAGATGGTCTGAGTATCAGGATGGAGAGTTACAACCCAGAAGGAGGCCCACTGGAGGCCTACAGAGAGGTACATGATGATGGGGCCCAGCTTTCCTCAGAGGAGGACTGACCGTGGGGCCCTACAGGCAGGGTACTGGCTTGCTGATATGTTTGGCCTCTTGCCCTGGACCAGCTCTCGGCCTTGAGCCCATGCTTCAGGACCCTGGAGAGAGGCTTTTAAGCCTGAGGACAAGAGGATGTCTCTTCATGAACTGCACTGACAATGCTTTCAGATTCTGCCAGGGAAGATAAAACAGCAGGTTGAATCAAGTTGAGAGTTATTGTGTTGAAAACCCGAACATTTTTGCATGTGGAAATGTTACTATCCAACAGTAACAGATTATTTTGGCAAGCCAATTCTGAAAATCTACCTTGGCAGGTCCACACCTGTTGTCTTGTATAGAATAATATAATTTGAAGCTTTTATCAGCTGTACCTTCAAGGGTGTACTTCATGTGTTATTGTGAAGATGGTAATAGAATATTTTTGTATGACCTTTCTTAGTGTTTATTTAAAACAAAACCCTCTGAATTGACCTCCAAAGCTTGTGATTGGTTCTTTGAATCGGATAACAGAAACCGCAGTTTCATAAACTAAAGGTGGAAGCACTTAATGTTTTGTCACTTGATCGCAACAGCTTGGGAGACGTCTGTCTCCCTCCCTTTTTGCAGCATTGTTTTGATAACCGCCCCACTGGTTTGATTGGAATGAGTCAGCCGTCGTTTAAAGGGAGGGATGTTGTTATCAGTGCAGAAATCTGTGACATGCCTCAGATGATTAATATATGTAATGTGAAATATCGAGGCTTGAAGGAATTAGACCAATTGGTGGAGTACATCTGGATTGTATTTAGATCGTGTTACTGCATGAAGTGGCAATGCATTCTGGGATGGCAACAATAGACAGACGTGCCATATGGTAAATGCAATTTCCAAAGACATCAACACTGATAAAGAATACCTAAAATTCACTCTTTTATCCTCTTAGGATGTAAAAATGTTTTTGTTTTTTTTCAGGAATCTTTATATTTAGATGGAGAAAAAGGAGTTTGAAGGAAGGAAATCCAAATCCTCTCTTCTCTGCAGTTGATGACCTGTGATAACCTCTAGTAATTGCTTCTGCCCGTTGATGGGAACTGCTGCCTCAGAAAAAAAGATCCTAACACATCTGGCAGGTTAGTGTTTAGACACCGTGTGTGACGAACTCCAGAGTGCCTTACCCAGACGTCCCGTGATAAATATGTCAGACTTGTCCAGAAAGAATCTCCTCTCTACTGGTATTAATTAAGTCTAACTTGCATACAGAGGAAAAAAGACTGTTATCATTTACACACTAGATTCCTGTGCTGATCAGATTCGCTCGTGAGTACATAGATATGCTTGAGTTGGACATGCGTTCTGACTGTGTCTTTAAGTTGTTTCTTTTTAGCTGCAGTGTTTGCTTTCCACATACGTCTCGGATCAATGAAGTCTTGTGGTCGGATCAAGTGGTCTTGCAGATAACTATCCAATGATCTACCAAAAGTGTGAAATTGTGCCCTGAGAGAATGATCAACATTTTTGAGCTGTGAGGGGGATTCAAGGATACAGTTGTTGATTTTTTTCTTGAATTGCCCTTTTAACAGACTTGCCAATAAAAACACATCTTATTGCGGTAGAAGATATAAACTATAATTGTGCAGGACATAAAAAGGTTGTAACAGTACGATCAAATGACGAACAACATGATGATGCAACGCGTAAAAAATTGATACCTATATATATTTTTAAGGCACCTTTATTTTGACACTCTCCTCAACTTTGCGCAATGTCCATCTATACCCCCAAAATGGTAATTCTCGTTTAAACTCACCTGTCAGGGCTCGACAATAAGGACTGCCCGATGGTCCAGGGCCACCGTGAAAGACTGGACAGCGATCTGGACAGTTGACAGAACTGTCACTGTCCCGATCGGGCCAGTGCTTGAATCCTCACAAAACTTTATCAGTTGCCTGTATTTTAAGCCTTGCCAATTTAAACATTCAAGCAAAGAAGACACGAAAGAGAACTCATTTCGGTACTCACACATTGTGTGAGAAGTTTTCAATGCGCACACATCCAAAGCGCGCACACAGAGAGCCACCTCCCAGATAGAGCGCAAATACTCTGAATTGAGTTGTCTTTCCCTTCTTTTTGTGCTTGAATGGATAAGTACAGACAAAATGATGTCAAAATGTCCGTCTATGTGTTTCAGTAAGTAAACGTGCATTAGCTCTTAAAGTTAACTTTTGTAATCTATATTTAATTTATATAGTGGAGACTGTAGTGTTATTTTACATTTGATTATTTTACATTATTCGATTCGATTTCTGTCCCTGAAAACTTCTATTAGACCTAGCTGAAAACCTGAAAAGAGCTATTTATTTAATTTGTGTCTTTGTTCTATTGTACAGTAGGCTATTTATTTGTGCTATTGCTTGTAATTTGATTATCTGTAGAAAAGAATTCTTATCTTTGAGCCCTGCCAATAAGTTTTAACAGCTTTATTTTTGCAATTTCTTTTTTTATATATTTCTTTTTGTAAATGTATGTATTTTTCTACAACTGGAGTACCTAATTTTGCTGTTTCCTAATGAGGATTTGCACTAGATTTTACACACTGCACATTTTAGCAAGCCTGAAAGACTTTCTTGACTCTTGTCATGTCATCAGATCGCTGATCTCATTTGTGACTTGATTTTTTCCCCCACTATTTATTTTTCTTTATTATTTAAAAAAAACTAAATTTTACTTTTTCTTTTTTTTGTGGATGTCCCAATTGGGGTACAGGATGTGCAATTTCCAGAGAAATGTTCATGTTATATATTTTGTTTGCATTTGTAAGCTAAAAAAAATGTAACTGGTTGTGTAAAACAGGCACATAATATCATAATAACGAGAAATCAATCGATATACCCCTGAATCTAATCAAATCATAATCTTATTGCAGAATTTTTTGAGGTATTGGCAAATATCATATCACTGGCTATGAGAATTGATATCAAATCTTATCATGATGAAATGTCCGCTTTACACCCCTAGTTTTGATAATAAAGGCATTTTGATACATCACTGCTTTGAGACATAAATCTGTCAGTGTCCCTCACCTTAATCTTTTCTCTGTCTATCTATAGGTCCAGTTTCACAGTAAATCTGAGCTCTAATAAGACACTGCTCAGAGCAGGTCACATACTCTAAACCAGTGGTTCACAACCTTTTTTTGACTCCAAGGCGCCCTTTGTCCGAGACAATATTCAAAGGCCCTCCCATCTAATCTGATATGTAGCTCTGGTACTGCTGTTTTAATAAAACAAACAAACCCCCAAATTCAGCTTATTTTTAATGTGGTTTTGTTGTTGTTTTTTGTTGTAATTATTATGTTATTGGGGCCCCACTAGTTAGTTGAGGCCCCCTATTTGAGAACCATGCTGCTCTAATCTAATCACTTAAATCTATGTAATGTGCTGTTTTTCCCCCACATTTGATTCTGTAGTTCAAATTAATTCTACAGTGCTTACTTGCCAACACAGAAATCTATACCCTAAAAGTCACCCTGTTTTGACTGGATGTTTCTGTACCGGATATAGACTAATTAAGACAATGGCAATGAATAATTTTGAAAAATATATTTGCTTTTAAATCTGATTTGTGTGTGGTTTTGATACAGCGGTTAATGCAGGAAGGAGAGGGTGTGTCAGTGCTTAGAATGAGAAACCTCAATATTGACTGTTGGTTCAACTACGATTGGTTTTGGAAATGTTGTGAATGAGGGTGCTGCTGTTGAGAGAAACACTGCTTATAGCATTCCTGACGTCTTCCAGCAATGCGGTCATATGATTAGGAAAGACATCATGATTCCACATCTGCTCCTTAACCAAGTCCATGCGAATAAGTGGAATGATGGGAATATTTAAATACGCACAAAGGAGTGGGAATGATTATCTCTGCTATCTTTAGTACTTGACTTTACTAACAATCCTGACAAAAATACTGTGGTGGCAGCACCATGGTTGTTTCAGACAATTATGCCATAGATCTTTGATATATCATATTGTCATGCCTTATTATTTATATAGCACTCTAAGGTAATTATTGATTGAACACCATTCTTAATACTATCATACCATGTCCAATAAAAATGGTGATACCCTGCTACTAATTCCAAATCAAATCAAGAGTTTTTTTATTTTCTGTCATAATTTACTCGTCCTCATGTATCTTAAAATATCTTCTTCTGTGTTCCACTGCTTCCACAGAAGAAGAAAAAAGATTAAGGGTGAGTAAACAGTAGCAGAATGTTCCTTTTTTAGTTGAGTTGAGTTGCGTGGATGCATGACAGATTAATGAACCTAAAAGCATAATTTTTTAGCCACTTTGTTTGCAATATGTGTCCTTTTCTTAAAGTATCATAAAGGGTTTTGCTACCCTGGCAAGCCAAAACTGTTTTTTGAAGAGACAGCAGATGGCAGCAGTGCTTCTGTGTTTCACATGCTGAACAAAACCCTCTTTTTCAGTCTTTTCGATTGAGAGGGTTCATATCTTGTATGTATTTTGTCTGAGTAGATTTTTAATGTAATTATTCCTAGTCACGAGCATGAGATCTTTTTTTATATTGCCATTTAGTGCAATTTACTGATGTGAGCTCATTGAGATGAGCCACCATTAGTGGCTCCAGCTTTTTGCCATTCCTTTCAATGGCTAAATCATCTTGAAAGTGTTATGGGTAATTTGATACACATGTATGCTGAAATTATGGTTGTATGTTTAGCTCAGAGCTCTAATAACTATATAATATCAGACTGAGTGGGGTTTACACCTGCAGAAGATAATGTTTATTCCCTAGATGATCCTCCAGAGCTCTACCAGATCATTCCACATTCCAGTTTCAAATCATAGTCCACATGTGCTTAAACAAACTGTTGTTCTAAGAAGTGTGCTTAACAATTATGAGATGGCTCTTCCATCTCAAAAGCATGGAGAGGGAGAGATGGGGAGAGTAATAACCGCCAAAAAACTGCCAGCATTCTGCTCAGCCTGGCACGGCTGTAAAGCCTGTCAAAAACTCATCACGGTGAGGAAGCCGCCTCAGCAGGGATGCTTCGAGCTGCCAGGGCACGGTGGGGGAAGAAAATGGAGCCGCTTGCCCAGCAGCGTGTGATCATAATGAGGAGGAAAATTCCCATTCTTGTATCCAGATTAATGTAACAACAACAATGTGCTTTTGTCCAATTTTTTTTCGCCCCCCTCTCATATTACTCAAAGCCTCCATTCCCTTTTCCATCCATCAGCTTTACTGCGTGCATCGAGTTACTTAGTACAGTTGCATTGCTGGTTTAATGCATCTCTTGGGTGGGATCTCACATAGATGTACTTGCATATTGTGCGAGTTTCTAGTTCTTTAGCAAGCCGAGGAAAATCGATTCCGGTTACCAGGCATCCGGGTACCATCTCCAAGCAATGAGCCTCTCTATCTGTGTACATGTGTACATGAGGTCAGTCTCAAGCTGTCTGCTGATGA